AGATAGACAGCTAGATAATAAGGATGGAAAAGGCTTGCCTGCCTTCTTACCCTCCTGGCTGGAGACAAAGGCCTGGCAGCTTGAGACAAGGGGCCTCCTGGGCTTTTTCTCCTGCCGTACAGCGGCAGGTCTGTGCTGACAAGTTCAAGGCCAGGTCCAGGAATGTTGTGAGCCTATCAGTTTACCTATATTTGTTTGAACTGGCCAACCCTAAATTACGAAGGGACGATCCCCCCACCTCAAAATATCCTTAAAACCCAGTCCTCCAGGAAAGGCAGGGCTCCGCCCCCCTGGGGGTCTTTCTGTGCGCCTCACTGGTGTATGTCTCCCTTAATAAATGTCTTTCTTCACCTGTTAGTTGCTTCTGTCCGTTGTGTCTAAGATTTTCCCTGCTGCTACCTTTTGTGCTCAGATTTTTCTTGCCTTTTAATTTTTTACCTGGCAGAGAAAAAGAACCTGATCCAGACCCCTAGGTAGTAACAATAGTAAGGGAAAAAAAGATAAGATGATGGTTCTCTTTGATTTCCTATTTTTTTCCTACCTTTTCATTTTATATTTAGCCCTTGTCTTTGGAAACCCAAATTCTGAACTATGATTTTTGTTGTTATTATTGTGGTACTTCACCTGTAAAAACTGTTTTTTTTTTTTTTTCTTCATGTCTAAACCGATGGTTAGAAAGCTAGTACAGTGTAGACAAAAATACAGCGGGGATGGAGAAGTGATGGAAGGAAAATCATACCAATTGTTATGTACAAGTAAGTAACTTAACATCCACGTACTCTTACAGTTCAGTGTAAATGGCCACCACAGACTCATGCTTTTTGGTCTCCAGCTGATTTTCGGGTGGAGGGGGGTGGGGCCTAGGGGAAGAAGTGGGACATGGGTGAGCCTTGAAGTTTATAATCAGCACTTCCTTCAGGCCTTATCTCTGTTTCCTGTGAGCCACAGGTGTGAGCAAGCTCCCTCCAGCATGGCTTCCCACCTTGATGGACTGTATCTCCTAAAACATTGGTCTAAATAAACCTTTTTTCCTGTAAGCTGCCACCATCAGGCATTTCATCCCAGCGATGAGAAAAGGAACCAGTACAGACACCAGTGATGTTTGCCCATACACTCTCTCTTTATATCTGGGCACACATAAAACTCATTGTTCAACACACACACACACAAACACACACACACACACACACACTGGAATATATATATATATATATATATATATATATATATATATATATATATACACACACACACACACACACACACACACACACATATATATATGGCAGTATAATTCATTCACTAATGTAAACCAACAAAGGTGTTTCACTGACAGACAGACAGGCTAACTCCTGAAGGGAGTGGATGCTTTTGCTCCCATCTCTGGGATGTAGATGGTACTGTCAGAGCCAGGCTGTTCCTCAAGCTGTGTGAGGGAAACAGGGCCTAAAGAGCAGAGTGTTTTGTGCTATTCCTGAGATTCAGTCTTTAATGACTCTTTTCTCTAGAGAGCAAATTCTGTCTCAGCCACAGGAGGGCCCCTGTCCTCTTGAACTGCCTTTCACAGAGGCTGGGAAATCAGAGATAAAACAAGGAACAGACTCAGGGCAGAATAACAATAATTTTTCTTTTGTGTGGAAGTGAATGGGATATTTGGCTCTTATCCAATATTTCCTCAAACTGATGATGCCTGCACATGACATTTTCAAAATATTGGTTTGACTACTTTGGACAAAAGTTTCTGGCCTATGCTTATCAATACGTATGCAAGGATACAAGCTCCTTGCTTTCATTCAATTCACACTCTCACACCCCAAGAAAGACTCAGGTCTTTGTCACACTGGCTGAAGTGTGCTCTGTTCCAGCGTGACCAAGAGGAACCAGTTTGCTACAGTTACTGCATTTCAGGGAATAAAGGGCAGAGACAGCTCAGAAAACACAGCCCTGGGGCCTCTCCCACTTTCTCTGTGGCAGGAACTACAGCCACTCTGCCTGGAGCCACCACCCTGTAACCGTGGACTATGGAGCACCTGTCAAAGGTGGCCTCACCGTGGCTGCACAGCTACCTCCAGTAGCCACTGTGACGACTATCTTGCAGGCCATAGATGATTTATCTCTTCCACCATCCCCGAATGCCATTCACAGGGTGGGCATACACTGTGGGTTTCCTGGTCTTACAAGTAAACAACTGAGGCAACAGTCCTCCGTGTCCCATGCTTTTGCCAGGCTTACCTTTTGTCCCAGGATGTTACTTCTGTCTGCAGAGTCATGAGAAGTGGAGTTAGCCAGAACTGAGGTAGGAGTGAGGTGGGCCTAACTTGGGTGGAGCTGTGGTTTGGGGGCCCTGTGGGGAAAGGTGGACAGGATAGGAGGCTGACTTGAAATACTCCTTCTTCATGAGTATCAGCCTAGCTAGGGAGAAGCAAGATTGTGCCAGCTGCTGGTGCCTGTACCTGGATTATCTGCAGAGGAGGGGTGTATTGAAGCCAGCACAAAACTGCTCCAGCTAGGACACCTCTCCCCTTGAGCTCAGATGGGTTTACACAGGCCTTATTATACTTGCCTAGGCTGGGCTAAGCCCCCTCTTCCCCACAGGGTGTGAGGGGAACCAGCTTCCCCATTAACTCAGGCCTGTATTTTATCAGCTTCCAACAGGCAGGATCCCAGTTCTGGGAGCATCTGTGACCTGTTGTGCAGTAATAGCTTGGTTCTCCTCGTGTTCGGCTCCCTTCACAAGTACTTAGTGTGAAATCATAGGGGAAGGAAGTGTGAGCAGAAGAAAAACAGCACTATTACACAACCCCCCGAAGAGACTGCTGTGATAGAATTAAAAGCTGCCGCCCTAGGACATTCTAACAGATGACACTGTGAGGTTGCCAAGGTAACCCACCAGGATACAGTTCCAGCTTCTCTGGTGTCGTGGCTGGGAAGATGAGGTCAGTTAGAGGTAAGGCCCAGCTGCCCAGGGTCTGTCCCCTAATGAGCCATCTCATAGCTGTCCAGGCTGCTTTCCACGCAACATAAGTGAACCCAAGGCTTAGCTATTTATCAGGTATCACAAGCAAAGGAGAATCAGAACATTCTGGATAATTGTTGGATGTAGGCCACACATTCAACTGGATGCTAACAACTCAGTTCATTATATACATATTTATCAGGTACTGTGTACCAGGTAGGAAGCATCAGGATGTATAGAAAGACAGGTCAAGAGCTCTAGGAAGGGAGGGAAGCAGAACAAAACCAAACTAAACACTAAGTAATGAAGAACCAGACAGGAAAAAATGTCATTAAAGACATTTAATGTGTTGGTACTAAGAACAATATTGAGTGGAGGAAAAAGGAATATGTCAGAATAGCATATTAACCTCGAGGAGCTGGTGCTCACAAAACAAAACAAACACCCCCACAAAAAACAAAACAAAAACCCAAACCCAAACCCAAACCCAAACCCACACACCCAAACAAAACTACATGCATAACATTTATAAGTGGGAAGAATTTGGTTACAAATACTCTCTCTCCTCTCTGTCTCCATCTCCTTTTGCCCTGTGAGTTTTTCGCTGACCTCTGGCTGGCACCTGAAGGTGCTGTTCTCTTTATGTAGTGACCATCAGAGGCCCTGGACAATGGTGTAAGAGTACTGATTTCCAGGTCTTAGGCAGGACATTTAGCAGAAAGACTCCTCCCTTTGACTTCATAAATAAGCGTTCAACACTAGGGCTCCCTGGACCCTTGTCCTGGCTTATTTTCTTCCAGTGGGGGCAAGCTGAGGATGTGAATTAGGGGTAGGAAAATGTGGACAGAGGTCAGGGGTCGTGGGGGGATGCCAGGAAGTGGTGGGTGGAGAGGGAAAAGGAGAAAAGAAAACAAATCAGGGAATCAGGGCGGGTGGAGTAGAAGACATGGCTACTGGGAAGAAAATCCTGGAGTAGCTCTCACAAGAGGAGTCCCTGCAAACAGGACAGTACTTCCTCCCTCCTGGAGGGTGTTATTAAGTATCAGACGGACCTCATTAAAACGCAGGGCCTAGATCAGCCAGCCCTCCTCCGTGTGGCTCCAATGCCTAAGGACCCTTCTTTGCCCAACCAGAACAGGATAATCAATTAGATCGCAGCCCCTTATGGTAATGATGATAATAACGATAATAGCAGAGTTATAGAATGCTTCCAAGCATTTTACATTTAATAAAGCACGAGGAAGTGCTGCTTGGCAAATGAACAGGCCCAAAGTCACCCCAGTCACTGGGGAGTAAGGACAGAAGGCAGGAGTGCTTCCTGACCATTTGTCTCTAGGGTTCCCGTTCTCAAGCCCGGCATGGTAATTCTGTTTTGTGGCCTCAAAGAGACTATTTCGCACCTCTAACTGTGGTAAAGCAGCCCTGTCCTAGGTAACTGATTTATGGAATTTTCTCCTTGGGGAATCCTTCTTGCTAGGCTAAGATGATTCAATCCCATCAAGATCTCCAACCTTTGGACACCTGGGTAAGGTGGGGAAAGAGATGCTGAGGCCAGTGGCCAGTTCTCCCCAAGAACTACTTGCCAAGAGATGAAACCGGCAGCACACGCTGCTTGGGGACGTTCCCACCTGTGGAATGGGTCGAGAGGTCTGGACCCCTTTCTAGCTCTCCTCCCCACCCTAGCCATCAGCTAGTTGATGGCAGTCGCCTCCCCAGCATCTTGGCTGGCGTCTTGGTGCTCTCCTAAGCGGGTCCCAGAGCCCGGGACTGGGAAAGGGAGGTGGGGGCGGGGGTGGGCCGGGGTTGCGCGGAGCTAGCCGCGCACGGGTCTCTAGCGCCGGGCTGCCAGGGGCCGTTCGGCTTCCCTCAAGAAGATGCAGCGCAGCATATTTTGCACATGAGTTCAGAGGAAGAGGAAGTGTAGCTGGCGGACGCGCGGCGGCGGCGGCGGCGGCGCGGGGTGGGGGCGGCGGGGCTGGAGTCGGAGCGCGCAGGGCGCAGCGAGCGGGAGCGCGGCGGCCACTGGCTCCGGGGAGGTACCCGCGCGGCCAGCGCCCGAAGGACCAACGACACGCGAGCGGCCGCGCCCCGCGCTCTGCCCCCACCCCCCGGGGCCGCGTCGTTCGCGCGCCGCCCTGCTCTGCATGGCACAAACTTTCATCCCGGGACGCAGCACGCTGTCTCCGGGAGCCCGCGCCACGGTCTCCGCCACTAGTCCCCTAAGGTAGGTGGGCGTGCGGTGGGCCGGCAAGGTGGCGCGCAGAGGCCGCGGTCGCTGGCCCCGCGGTTCGGGATCCCGGCGAGCCGGCGACAGCTCCTCGTGGCACCTTGGGGCTCCGGAGCTGCCAGGCGAGCTCCCTGGTCCAGGTCCCACGGGGACGGGGACCGATCGATGGGACGCCAGATTCTGGGCCAACTTTTTTTTTTTTTTTTCTCCCGGATGAAGAGGAAAAATAAAAAAAGACAAAAACAAACAAAAAACCCACGGGGGCGCGTGAGGGTGAGAGGGTCATGGGCTCCGCGGGCGGAAGGTCTCCTGGAAGGACGCCGGGAGAAGCTCGGAGGCTACAGGTGGCTCAGCACCCTGGGCTGTAGCGGGTACTCGGCCTGGAGCAGCTGGGACTTGCACCGCTGTTCACGTGTTCCCGGAGACCTGGGCTGGACTCGGGGCAGAGGTGTGCGACACTCGAGAGCACACGGGCCAGGCGCGGAGACCGGGTGGAAAATCCGTGAGCCGAGTCCCAGGCACCAGCAACGGCTTTTTCCCGGTTTCTGAAACGGGTTTTTCTTGCCTTATCCTGACTCCGAGGGACGGGGCACGCCAGGATGGGCGTGGGGTCTGGGCGGGGAGGAGGTAGGATGTGTTTAAGGAAGCCTGACTGTCAGGCGAGCGCGCCAGGTCCGCTCGCTCGCTCGCACCGCTATCTGGGGAGGCCAGAACCGCGCCGAGGGCAGGCTTAGCCCCGCGCCTGCTCCCTGCCGCCTCTAGGCTGCTGGCTCTCAGCTGCCCCCTGTGGGCGGTGGGTGGTGTCAGTGAGTTTGTTTAGGGGCTTACAGGCAAACTCTTAGTTTTTTAGAGTCTGGCGCAGATCTTTGTATTTGAGTGGCTGCCCGGCTGCCCAGCAACCGACCCTTCTCGTCCCTACAGCTGTTTTCGGAAGCCAGGTGTGAGGTCAGAACAGGTGTCTCCCAACCGCTCCCACGGAGAGTCATCTCAGGATAAGCCTTTTCCAGGAAGGAAGCCTGGGTGTAATGTGAGTGGCCTACAAGCCCGTGGGTAGAGCCACTGAACCCAGCGTATTCCTGGCGGCCAGGATTCCTAATTTGTACCTTCTGACCATTTCAATTCTGAGGAAGTTCAAGTGACACCAGATGTCACCAGCCACCGCCCTCGGCGGTTAAGCTGTGAGGTGCTGGGTTCAAACCTCAGTGAGTGAGTGTAACGGGATTTCACCAGGCCTGCGCAGTTACAGCCCCGAGCTGGGAGCCTCCCTGTGTCCGCGTTTGTGGGGCAGGACCCCCGGGGCATTTGGTCTTTGGTCTTTGTCTTCCCCCCACCCCCAACACGGATAAGGGGCACGTGAAATGGCTTGTGCGGTCAGCTCATAGATTTGGTGTAGGAATTGAAATAGACTAAATTGGGGAGACAAGTCAGTGCATTCTTTCTCTCCCTCTGGAACAGGAAGTTTTGGCTTGATTTCAACTATTGCTTTGTCTGCAGGGACACAGGCTGAGTGGTGGGAGTTCCTTTAAAGCTACTTATGTTCCTCCACGAGTGGAGTCACATCGGAGCTGAAGCTGTGTGGTGCCATGGCTTGGTGGCCACGGTGGCCTTTCTAGATGTTAGCTTGGTAGTCTAAGGAAAGGACACGCTGATTCTCATGTCCCACCGTAATCTGTTGTCGTTGTTGAGACCGTCTCCCTGTGAAACCCTGGTTGGTCTGGATCTGTCACTGTGTAGACCAGGCTGGCGTCCAGCTTGCAGCCCTCTTCCTTCCAAACGGTGGGGCTTTGCTGGGTACCACCACACCCAGCTCCCGTTAAAAACAAACAGACAAACAAAAATGATACAGTAAAGCTGCAGCAGAGTCCAGTGCAAAAACCACGCTGGGCACATGGCGAGCTTCCGTGATCTCACAACCCAGAAGGCCGAGGGGGCTGGAGAAATTTGAGTTAGAGGCTAGCCTGAGCTACAAAAGCAATGACCCAGACTTAGGTTTTCAGACTTTATTGCACATCTGGCCGTCATCTATCTATTCAGGGTGTGGATTCGTACGTTTTAAAATAAGTTACAGTCATGGTCCAGTGTCACTTGTACTAAGCGTTCAGTTAGTGTTCAGTGTGTGTTCATGTGTTAGGGTAACGCAGGCATAACAGTGAAACACATGTGCACATTGTTTCCACATACACACGCACTGTGCAGCCCAGTGCTTATCAAGACAGGTAATTTACCATCCACCTGGGTTTCTTCATAGGCCCCACCGTCACTTCCAGTCCCCACCTTCCCGGCGGCAGCCATGGCGTTCTCTTACCGTAGGTTAGGTTAGCCCGTTTTTTGAGTCTCATGAACACAGAGTTCTACAGTTCTGTATAGTTTCCTTTTCATTCAGCACTTCTGTTTCACTGTATTTGTTATGCATCAGCTATGTTCAGGCATATGTATGCATATGCCACAGTTGGCTTGTATGTCCCCCTGTTCCTGGTATGGGGGTCATTTGCAGGCTTTGCTGCTGTTGTTACTGTGAAAAATGCTGCTGTGAACACTTAGGCGTTTGTATGCCAATTCCCAGGGACTTAGTTCCCATTCTCATGGAGGTGTGTATAGTGCATAGAGGAAATTGCTAGGCCTTCCAGATTGTGGTGATTTCTCCTTAGACTCCTAGAAAGAGTACAGACCTGTGGTTCTGGAGATCAAACCACAACCCCACTCTCCTCTCTCTGAATCGGGGTGGTTAGTTAGATTATTGTTCTCCTGGGTCGAGGCGACTGTATTCTCCGGGGATCCGCCGGGACCCCCGTGTTTATAGGTAGAAGGGACTATAAGTAGTGGTCCCTGAGTCCTTCACTTAATGTTTTCTCACTTACTGTTTTCTATTAGGCTGTGTGTGTGTGGTGATGTGTGTGTGATGTGTAGGTGTGATGTGTGTATGTGATATGTGTGTATGAGCGTGTGTACATACCACAGATGTCTGTGTGAGGTTGGAGGGTACTTTGGGAGTCTGTATGCAGCTTCCGCCAATTTGAGCTGCAATGTCTCTTGCTCACAGCGGCTCATACCAGCTGCCCTTTGGGCTTCTGAGCATCTCCTGCCTCTGGCTCCCACCTTGCCCTAAGGGAGCTGGGATTATAGATCCGTGCAGTTTTGGTGGGCCCTGGGGGGTCTGAACTGAGATCCTCACTCTTGCTCAGGAAACACTTTACTCTCTGAGCCAACTCCCCAGCCCGTGAAGTCGATTTAGACTTAAATCATTGCAAATGATACGATGAATGCTGTATCTTCGGAGATCTTCGAGGAAGGCGTTTCCATAGGGGAATAGACCCTAGATTGTGAAAGACTGGCTGAATGCTTTCTATAAAAAAGAAAAATCAACCGCAAGTTCCACAGAATCCCACTGAACTTCTGCCTAGAAAGTCCTAGGGGATTCTGGGCTCTTGTGAACGTGGCTGACTGTTTGGATTTCACCAGTGTGCATAGCTGCCTGCTTTTTCTTGGGAGGAACGGTAGAGTTGGGTTGGGTAAGTGTGGAGCACCTTTGCTGAGAATTGTTGTCTCTTTTGTGAAAATCGTACCATAGTAACACCCATAGTAACCTTTTCTCTTATACTGAGAAAAGGGGCGTGGCTGCTCTGAGGTCTTCTGCAGTAGTCCCTCTCTGTGGGACCTGAAGCAGGGCCTGACCTTGGGGGATCCAGGAGACAGGAAGTGTGACTGTTGGTGGAACAGAGGGTGCAATGCTTCCGTGTCTGTCAGGGCGTCCCCCTACTGACCAAGTATCCCAGGGGACAGATGAGCCAGCTCTAGTTTTGAGATGTTGGAGAGGGTCTGGGTCTCTGTAGTTTATAGAACCACAGTAAACATTATATGGCTCAGGCCAGGGGAAAGGGGCACTGCAGACATCCAGGAGAGGACCGAGCCGCCGGTCCGCACAGCAGGTGAGGAGAGACCAGGGCCCTAAAATGTCACATTCCCACGGTTCTCATCCTAGCGCGCATGGGGGAGGGGGCATCAAGTATTTGGACCTAGAACAGTTTTACTGCCGAGGTGCCATTGGCTTCCGTAACAGATTTTACCAATGTTACTAACAAAATACAAGGTGTTACGCTAGCCGTCGGGGGTCGGGAGAGGGGGGCTGCTCGGCTGGATGCCTGTGCCACCTGAGTCATCTTCAGGATCGGGGAATGCCGACGTTGTTTGCTTTCAGCCCGGAGGAAGGTAAAGCTCAGCAGGTCCAGAGTTCTGGCTTTACCTTCCAGTTTCTGAAACCTTCAGGGAGAGACTTCGTCACTTGGGTTTAGTGCACAAGCTTCTGGAAGCACAGTTCACAGTACGTGAAGACATAGCATGGTAGAAGTGTCACGCCCACGGGTAGGCAGAGCAAAATGACAGGAAATAGCACGCCGGACTCACTTCCTGTAGTATTTTACGTACTTGTGTCTCACAGAGTTTTGGTACGCTGGGGCCTTGTGGAGAAGTCCTGACTCTGAATCTTGGTGTGGTGACACATACCTGTAATCTTAGCCTTTGGGAGCTGAACCACGCCAGCCTGGGCTGTAGAAAAGAGCCCCTGACTCAAAAAGTAAAACAAGGGCCAGCAGGGTGGCTCAAAAGCCTGATGACGTGAACTCAGTCCCCGGAGCCCAGGGTGGAAAAAGAGAACTGACTCTTGAAAATTGTCCTCTTACCTTCATTAGCATACCTTGGCAGATGTGCTCACGTGACGCTCCTTCCTCTCTAGCTATCTATCTCACACATGCAAATGTTTTAGGATGATGTTTTTTTTTTTTTTTTTTTTGGTTGTTTTTTGAGATAGGGTTTCTCAGTGTAGCTCTGGCTGTCCTGGAACTCTTTCTCTCTGTGTAGACCAGGCTGGCCTCCAGCTCAGAGACCGATCTGCCTCTGCCTCCCACGTGGCTGCAGACCTTTTGTTTTAAAAAAGTGAAAGGTACTGGTGAGTTTGGGTTGGGACTTTCCTGAGTGACTGGAATACAGTGGCCAGTGGCCAC